GCGGCGGCAGCCAGGGACGGCGACGAGACGTGCCGGCGGCGGCCGGGGACGGCGAGACGAGACGGGCGCGGCGACGACGACGGGCGGCGGGGGCACGCGGCGACGGGCGGCGGGGGCGGCGAGGGCGACAGCACGGCGGCGCAGCGGCGTCGGCGTCGTCGAGATCGAGACTCGCGCGCGCGAGAAAAGTGGAACGAACTGGCGACGATAACTGAATTTTTGTAAGTGCCATATATATAGGATGGGCCTTTAGTACCGGTTGGTGCCTCCAACCGGTACTAAAGGTCAATTTTGGCCAGCCCAAACGGCGGGAAACGTGGGCCTTTAGTACCGGTTGGTGGCTCCAACCGGTACTAAAGGGCAACACATTAGTACCGGTTGGAACCTCCAACCGGTACTAATGCCCGTGCGCTGCCACCCACATTTATTTTTGAGTAACTTTTTATATAGTTATTTCTTTTCTGCTTTATTTTTTTCTTCTATTTATTTCTGAATAGTTTTTTTTGCTGTATTTAGTTTCTTCGTGAAGTTTTTTGCTTAATATAATTTATTTTCTTCTATTTATTTTTGAGTAATTTGTTTATATAGTTATTCCTTTTCTGCTTTATTTTTTTCTTCTATTTATTTCTGAATAGTATTTATTTTCTTCTATTTATTTTTGAGTAATTTGTTTATATAGTTATTTCTTTTCTGCTGTATTCAGTTTCTTTGTGAATATTTTTTCTTTATATATTTTTACCTTTTCTGCATTATTTATTTTCTTCTATTTATTTCTGAGTAGTTTCCTCTTCTTCTTCTTCTTCCTACTCCTCCTCCTCCTCCTCTTCTTCTTCTTCTTCCTCCTCCTTCTCCTCTTCTTCTTCTTCTCCTACTCTTCTTCTTCCTCTTCTTCTTCTTCTTCTTCTTCTTCTTCTCCTCCTCCTTCTCCTCCTCCTCCTCTTCTTCTTCTCCTTCTTCTTCCTCCTCTTCCTCTTCTTCTTCCTCCTTCTCCTACTCTTCTTCTTCTAGTTCTTGTTCTTCTTCTTCTTCTTCTTCT